GAGCTGCAGGACAAAATGTCTGTCTGGACAAAAAATGTCAAACGAGTCACTTTGAAAGCTTAAGACATTTTTATATCTTTAATCTGCGTCATATTGATCTACATTATACTCAGATCTTTGTCTTTATCTTTTTTCTGGCCACCTTGGTGAAGCTTTGGAATTAGAGACCTTCATTATGATCTAGGGATGCACGATATTATCGGCATGATATCGTATCGGCCGATATTAGCGATAAAGTTAAATATCGGACATCGGCCATTCCATCAAAATAACTCACTGATATAAAAGGATCCTGTTTTAAATTAACACTTAATTTAAGAAACTGTCAAGTATATCTATTATGACTACTTAATGTGCTTTTCACTTGTTGCTTGTTAACAGGTTGAGTTTAGTTTAGTGAAAATTTACAAATTTGCACTTTTAGAGTGTTGTCGTGAAATGTCATGAATAAATTTGACATTAAACGTAATCCAAGTTGAAGTGTTACATCATTTTCAGCCACCTTTTGGCATCTGCATTTGGTAACAGGCCAAATTGACAAACACCATGCAGAATAATGTCGTATTTTAACTCCACAGCAGAGAAAGTTATGTAGTCTAGGGAAAAAAAATCAGTATTGGTATCGGTTATCGGCTTTAACATATTGACGTATCGGATATTGGCCAAAAATACAATATTGTGCATCCCTAGTATGATCTAAACATTATCTTTTTAGGCTTGTATTTGTTTTTAGCAGGACTGCTGGTGAAGTAGAAAGTTGCTGTCCAACCATATAAATCTGTTACAAAAGCTGTTCACAAAATGTTTAAAAGTAAAATGGGAGGCAGAGCCTTTAGTTTTTAGGCTCATCTCCTCTGTAGTCAGCACCCAGTTGGGGTGAAAGACTCTACCTTTTTAAAATAGTGATAGATCAGTTAATGGTTGACCAGTTTTAATCAGCTTAAAAATATATATATATAAAAACAAAAAAAACAAATCGGCCAAGAAGGAAAATAAAGGTGCAGCCCACAATTTATTGTTTTTAAGTGAGAATGCACTTCTGTAAAGTAGTTTTAGCTGTGCAGGTTCTTCTAAGTGTTACTTTTTATTAAAAGCCTGCCAAAAAGTGCATGTATTATGGTACAGTATCCGCCAGTTTGTTCCTAAACTTTCTCTTGTCTCTGCTCATAACTTCTGATCCACTCAAGATCATTTACTGAAACTTTGTTCATGTTTGTGCCACCTCCAAGACAATGTGTCACATGATCTTTTCATCGCCCCAGCTCTATTTTCAACACTTATTCTAGGTTTTTGCTATAGATTGACAGATTGCTGTGTAATAGTTTGTTTGCGCTTTGTTGAAATCTTTCATTTCTTGTTTTAATCTCATAAATCCTCAGGGATGTGAAGTTTGTTTCTTTAGGTTAGGTGAACCGTGTAGCTGCTGATGTGAATTTAGTGGAAAAAAAAATAACTTGGCAATTTAGTTGTGTTAATAAATGACGTGGTTCTGAGTTCTGACCTCCTACTGTTGATGTACAACACTGTGGATGGAGATAAGGATGGGGGTGAATTTTAATCTGGGTGAGCTGCGGGTCTGAACGACTCATTGAGAGGAGCACGTTTTCAGATGTGCGCTTTATAACCGAGTTTTAATTTGTTCTCACATCTTATACCCTAATATATCCACCTTTTTATTTCTAGTGGGTTTCCTTTAAGTATCAGTTGTAATGATTAAGAAGACCAAAGTTATTTTATCAAACAGAACATAAATAAAACAGTTTTTCTACATTAAAAATGCATATTAAAAGTTTTAATGCTAGTAAGAAGTTACTTTTTTGTTGAATAGAACAATAAATCATACTTCACTAACAACACTCCATTTAGCATATTGGCCTCTATAATCTGAAACAAATGTGAGAATCAAATGATGCCAGAATCCTTTTGATTAGATGAATATATTATCCATTATTGGGCCTTTTATATGCCTAAATATTTCCACTTAAGATATTTCCCAGGCTGACAGAAAACTGCAACACATGCTCAAAAAATCCATTAAATTTGAATGATTTTGTTCCAATCTGTCCGTCAGTGCTCGTCCTTTGGCCTATCTACATGTGAATGTTTTTTTAAATTAGAACATTAGGTCCAAAGTGTTTCTGGAACAAAAAAATGAAGGAAACTTTGAAGCCCAATTACTCAAACGAACTCTGGCATCTGTAAAAACTAATTGTTCCTTGTAGAGATGTACTTTTTAAAGGGGGTACATGGGGTTAACACTGAAGATCCTTTTCGAGCTAACTAATGCTTTTTGTCTTAATGGATATTTACTTTTCACAGTGGCTTTTTTTAGAGCAGAGACAGTGGAGTGGCAGGTTTCGTTGCTTGTCTCTTAGCTTGGTGCCTTTTACCGTGAATCTCTGGTATTGCAGTACAACTGAATCTGATTCTGACCGAATCTGACCGATATGGAAATTTTGACTATCACCAATACCGATGTTAGGAGTGTGCTGATGCTATTAACAGCTATACAGGTGCTGGTCATAAAATTAGAATCTCATGAAAAGGTTGATTTATTTTAGTAATTCCATTCAAAAAGTGAAACTTGTATATTATATTCATTCATTACACACAGACTGATATATTTCAAATGTTTATTTCTTTTAATGTTGATGATTTTAACCGACAACTAATTATTAACACTGATATATATTTTACTTCTACGTTAGATTTATTGTTCTAGATAAAGTCTTACAAGGAAATTGCCTATGCTAAATGTTAGCTTGCTAACTTGAGAGGCACA